TTAGGGTTAGATTTAGCAGATTTTATTTTTGTATTTACTGTATTTAAATAAGTATTTGCAAGTTAACATTTTTTGTTTTTGCAATTCTGGCTGCTTCTGCAACCAGAATTGCAAAAATAAAAAATGTTTAATCTCCATTTGATGAATGGATGCTTTTTTACGATCGTTGATTTTAACTTTTTGTGAGATACATCGCAATCTAACACGGTGGTTGACAAATCTAAAGGGCTTGTAAAGTTTTCCAAGATTGTCATGGTCAGCCATTTATCTATTTTTCTATCTCAGGTCAAGGTTAGCCATTAGCCATTTTTCTTTCTCAATTTATTGAATTTAAGATGTAAACTTATAGAGAAGAATGAGGTAAATTAAATTAACCAAGACTCAAAACACTATTATGGAATTAGAAACGAACGTGTTGTGAAGCTTTAAAGTATGCTTTATATGAACCAACTCAATTATTTCAATTGATATCTCCAAATAATGTACTATATGAAAATTTAAGCATTATAATAGAAAATTCTAATGATAAACATGTGTTTAATAGTTATATAAGTTTAATAGTATATTACACTAATGCAACATCTTTAAATAATAATAATAATAAAAAAAAATTCAAAGTTTTGGTTGGTATCAAAAAGCCAGATGTATACACCTTTATCAGATGTTAATATTGATGGTTTTGTTATATAGAGAAACAATAGACTGAATGGTAAAAAAGGGGGTAGTGTTTGCATATATGTTAATAGTTCTGTAAAATCATATGAAATCAGTAATTTTGAACTTAATTCTGATCTTATAGAGAAGATATGGACATGTGTTGAGTATGGTCAAGAAAATGTTTTAATAGGTTGCATTTATCGTCCTCCTGACTCATCCTTTGTCACTAAAAAAAATGTTCTAATTTTCATTAAAGCAGCTAAAAGGACACATGGTAAAAAAACAATTCACTAGTATAATGGTAACAGGTGACTTTAACTACAACACTTTAATGTAAAAAAACTTTATTGTAGAATCGTATAACCAACAAGATGAAGATTTCGTAGTATGTTTAAATGACTGTTTTTTTGTACAATGTGCTACCGAAGCTACGTTTCTAAACAACGATAATGAGCTTACAAATATACTTGACCTAGCATTATAAATGATAGTTTATGCATTTTTTGTTTAACTTTGTTTTTTTTTATTTCGTTTAATATTGAGTTTTTGAAAGAATTTTATTTTTAATCTACCTAGGGTTATCTATTATATCTTTTTTTATAATCTATCTAGGAACTAATTAATTTTAAATAATATCATCGTGTTTTTGATTTATTTTATCTGCAACCACTTGATTTGAGTAGCAAAAGATAACATATAATAAAATGGTTTTTTAAATTAAAAATGAAAAAATAAAAAGTTTTTTTTTTCGACATCAACTAAAAAATAGCATATCGTAGAGAACTATAAAATTGATGTTTGAATGAATATCTTGTATTTATATAAATATAATAAAATTACCATTTGTATAAATCGAAATGATGAATTTCAAAGCTTACCCATTGACAAAATGATGTGATAAGTTTTTATACCTTTACAATCAATCGTACAAGAAATATATATCTATTGTAAAATTAAGAGATAAAACAAATGAAGTTTGGATAAAAAAATAATTATTGGGCAATAAATAAAAACTGGTCTACTCTTTAGCAGGCTCAAAAGAGAAATATAATAAAATGAAAAAAAAATTCTGAAACAAACAAATAACGCTGTTAAAAACTACGAAAAAAATTTGGTAAATAAAAAATTAACCTAATAATAATGGTTTAACAATGTATGACAAGCCTAGTCTTGTTGGTATTTTGAACAAGTATTTTCTTTCTGTGTACATGTTTACATAAAAGAACACAAATGATTGTAATTTTGAACTACAAATAGTAGGTTTGGAAAGATATCTGTTGATCAACCACTAAAATCATACTTGTCAAAATTGGACAAAGTAAATTTTTATGTATTTTAAGAAAAATGAAAAAAATTTTTTTAAGAGTTCTAAGCTCCTAATGTTTTTCAATACTACTATCAATTATTTATCAACAAAGTTTAACAAATAGTTATCTTCCTGAAATATGGAAAATAGCTAATACGATTCCCATATTTAAAAATGGAAGTAAAATATACGCAATAAATTATGGACCAGTATCTTTGACATGCGTACATTGCAAAGTATTAAAAAATTTGCAATCAGCAACATAGTTTTTTTAAAAGATAAAAACTATATTACAAAGTTATAGGAATCCTTATATTTTATTACATACCAAGTAATTATAGGCAATTCATTAGACACTTTATATACTAAATGATAAAAGGCATGAGTGCCTCATAAGAGATTAATATCAATATTATGTTGGTATGGTATAAAAAAAAAATTTATATTTTTATAATACGTCAATTATAAAACTAACGTTTTATAATTGCTTAGAACATATTTGTTACTTAGAACATATTTGTTTTCTTTATATATCAATGGTTTACCTTCTAAAATTAATAATAATGCATTTTTTATACAGACGGTAATTAAATCATTGCAAGCTCTACCAGCAGGTCTGGGGGTCTTAAAAGTCTAAATTTATGTTCAAGTGTATTACATAATATACTTATATTTATCTTCTACTATATGGTTTTGTTTGCCAGTTGTAACGGTGTAAAATGAGCATTAAGATACGAGTGTGTAGATAGGAAACATTTTTTGTAAACGAGCTTTACTTTTTTTTGTTTGGTTGGTATAAAATCTGTCAAACGTATTAAATATAATTAAACCATTGAACAAACAACATTCTATTTTTTATTGTATTTTCCAGAAAGTGATGGCTTGTGGTAAGCACAAATGTTTTGTTTTTATTTAAGAAAAATAATTTGAAGAGTTCAGAGATAATGATTTTGACGTAGAAAATGAAGAACGTGGAATACTATCAAAAAACTTTGAAGACGACGAATCCCAACAATATTGGATGAAGATGATACTTTGAGTCAAAAGCAAACGGCAGCAATGTTAAATATTGCAAAAAAAATAGTTTCTGACCGTTTAAAAGCTATGGGAAAGATTCTAAAGTGTAAAAAGTGGTGGCAATATGAACTGAATGAATGGTAGAATGAAAACCAAAAAAACACTTGGAAAATTTCACAATTTCAAAAGAAAATCAGTGTTACTGGCAATAAAAAATGGATTTATTTTAAAAACCATCAACGGGTTTTTAAAATAAATCCATTTTTTATGTAACATTAAACAAAGTCACTTTACCATCAATGATATGGTAAAGCAACTTTGTTACATGATAATGATACATTCATTACATGACAAAGATACATTCAAAACGCTAAGCTGCATTTATAGGTACTAATGTCGTAATTTTACAGAGCGTCTTTGAGCTATTTTTGCATTAACATTTTTAGCAGTTAACAATGGAAGATGTTTTGTTTTTTTATTGTTATTTATTTTTCGTGATAATATTTTTTTTCCGTGTTATAATGTTATATTTATAATTATAATAATAATAGATTTATCGGTAAATATACATATAGTTTTGTAAAATAATCCCCATATCTTTCCTTGTCTAATGAAAATATTATTTTTTGAATATTTTTCTAGTGTTTTTCATTGTGTTCATTCACTCTTTTAGTGTATTTAGATAAATGACTGGATAATTTTTATGTTTTAAAGAAACTAATAAAAAAATAGCCATCATTTTTACGGACATTTTATAGTCACCATTTTCTTCAAACACTATACCAACTATTTTTCTCACATACTGTAGCAAATAATTTTAACACACGCTGTAAGATTTCTTTTAAAAACTATACCCAGTGGGCACTGGACCTAAAAAAGACGTTTTTTAAACGTTCAAAAGACGTCCAAAACGTTCAAAAGACGTTCAAAAGACGTCCAAAACGTGTATAAGACGTTTAAAAGACGTCTTTTTTACTTCCGTGCCCACTGGGTAGTTACCATTTCTTCTGGATACTATAATAACCGTAATAAAATAGAAAAAACATACTATAACAAACTTTAATTAAATTTGATTTTTTATTTTATTAAAAATAAATAATATTCAAATCTAATGAGAAGAACAAAAAAAAAAAATGTTATTATTGGTAATTTAACTTTTAAGTTTAGTTTTTTTGTTTGTTTATTTACCTGAAGGGTATTTAATAATTTACAATATTGCTATTTTTCTATTTATATTGTTGCTATTAGTAAATTATCCATCACGTATTTTGATGTAGATTTTTAATCCTGCATCTTGCCATAAGTAAATATATAGATGGATTTATTGACATTCACAGTTTTAGTTAAAAGTAGAACTGTGCATATTGATAATCTGCAAGTCAGAAATTAAACAAGTTATTTCTTAAATAATTTATTTATATTTACTTATATTATTTACGACATTTTTCTAAATGTTAATAATGATAAATAGTGAGAAATTTAAATAATAAATGAAGTTCATGCCGAGACATTTTTTTGTTAAGTTAATGGAAAACCATTTGCATGTATGATTTAAAAGTTTTATTTTTAAAGATTAATAGTATTTTTATCGCTTATTTCTAAATTACTTTTTATATATTATTTTTATTAACCATTTTCTTTTATATAATTTTTTTTTTTTTTTTTTGTAAAAAATTTTTTTATAAAAAAAAAAAAATTATTTAGTGAACTAAGAAATCATAAGGTTATAAAAATTTGTTTGTTTGTTTAATTGTTTGTTTTTTACATTTAGTATGTTTATCTCTATAAGGCTTAGGGGGCTACTTTTTTTTTCGTTTTCTCTTATCATTTGACGTATATATTTTAATATGGTAAAGTCATCTTTAACAAAGTTATCAGTTTATCGAAATAACTTAAATCTACTCTCAAAATAGCCTAATATTAAGAGTAAATATATATTTATTGTAATCAAGCGTAGTTTAACCCCGTTGTTTTTTTGTTTATAAATGTAAGAATTTTATATAATAATACCGCATTCATGAATTGGCATCGAAGTAAAAAAATCATGGGTTAATCCGTCAAATGGTGACTAGTTTTTAGTTATAAGAATTAAGCGGCTAAATGAAAGCCCAAGTGTCAACGCCTGTTCCATTCATTTGTTCGCGTACTAAAGGTAATAATGGAGAAAATCGAGTAGTACAGAGCATATTTAAAAATATTTAAACAAGATGTTTTAAAATTTTTCACCGTGTGTTGATACAAACGCTTTTGTTTATTTTTACTGAGATAAGAATGAAAAATTAAGTTCTTATTACAAAGCATATTTAAAGAACTTCAAGAACTATGCAGGTCGAACAAGGTAAGTTAAAATATTATCATATTATCAATTGTTTTTTTAAGGTATTATTTTAAGTTGAAAAATGTATTTCTTAAAACATGGAGAATATTTTTCATAAAATTATAAATATATTTAAAAAAGTTATAAAAATATATCTAATATGCTTTATTTAGAAAATTTTCAAGTTAAAAAATTTCGATGGCTTCGATCTCTACGGAGGCTATCAAGTCGACAAAAGATTCTTATTACATGTCTTCTTATAATGATTTTAACAGGTGTTGTTGTAGCATCAGTTATTTTAACCAAGACTCTAAGTAAGTTTTTTTAAATTTTGGTTCAATTTGAATACTTTTTTAAAATTAAAAAAATTTCAAATCATAAATTAGAGCGTTTTATTATAAAGTTTAAAATTTTACAAAACGTGCAAATACTTTTTAAAAAAATTAAATAAAAAATGGTTGAGTTAAATTTATTTAATTAATGATAAGTGTAAAATACAATGTGCAATAAATACGAAATTGTATAAAAAACTTTTTTAAGAAACTTTATAACTTTTTTTAAATTTAAAGCTACCATAAGTTTCTTAAACATAATTGTCTCAAACATTTTTCATATTTTTGCTAAATTTGCTAATAGTATTGCTAATTACACGAGCTTTCTTAGTATATTAGGCAGAAAAATCATGCGTTAAAGGCTCCAAATAGTCCACTCGGTGTTGCAAACCCTATTGATATTTTGTAAAATAATTGATTGTAGAGCAAAAGAGAAAGTGTTATTTGATTTCCGTAAGTGATTAAAGAAGTATTAATATATACGACGTTTTAAAGCAAATACAGCTTTGTACATTTTTTTTTTTTTTTTTTTTTTTTATTATTTTTTTTATTATTATTTATTTAATTTGCCGTTGATAAATATTACAAAAAAGAAATTACAATAAAAAAAAAATCCTGGCCGGAGCAAGAAGAAGACAGATTGTCTTATCACCGAGCCCCGTCACACAAAAATTTACATGCACAATAAATGATAAAAGACAAAAAGACAGTATAAATACAAAAACAAAAACGAATCAAAAACTTCAGCAATAAAATAATTTGTTGCTAACAATCTTCCAGCAGAATAATTTTAAAAATAAAAAAGTAAAAACGACAAAAAGTCATGAAAGCTATAAAAACACAAAAAAAATGTGTTGTTTAATTGAGAAAAAAAAAAAAAAAAAAAAAGCAATATATGTAAACATAAGTATTTTGGCTGATTATTTAATATCATCAAAAATATGAACGAAAAAGACAATTTTATTTTCGTTATCTTTTATACTAATGGTTTGAAACCATTTTAATAAAAGCTAAAGAAAGTGTTAAAGATTTAATTTATTTTTAAGTGATTTAGTTTAAACCCTTAAATTGTTTTCAAAAAAGGTATTTGAAATCTATTATATCGAATTCCATGTTCAGTAAATGCCATTTTGAATCATCCTTAAAACTTTGCAAAGTGCAGTTTAAAACGAAGTTTTGTTTTTTACTAAAGATTGGAAGAAATTCTTTCCAAACTAAAGGTCCCCAATATTGAATTTGGTACGAACTTAATTTAAGAAAGTTTATGGGAACCACAAAGTTATTCACTGAAAATTTGGTTGGATATTTATGGGAGATTTCATTAAAGTAGGATTGAAATGTTACTGGAGAAAACCCAGTAACATTTCAATCCTACTTTAATGAAATCTCCACTTAATATTTATCAAGTAATGAAATCTCCGCTTAATATTTATCAAGTAATGATATTTATGTTTAAAGCAAAACCCAGTTTTGCTTTAAACATAAATATCATTACTTGATAAATATTAAGCTTATAAATATTTAAAGCTCCAAGCTGACGTAAGAGAGGTTCGCATTGTGTTTTTCTATTTGCCCCAAATACTATCCTGCAAGCATGTTTTTGTTTACTATAAATTTTTTTGAGTTTAGTGTGATTAGTGCTACCCCAGGAAATGTTACAGTATGAAAGATAGCTGTGTATAAACGAAAAATACAAATTTTTTAAAGACTCGTTATTAAGAAAAGGTTTCGTTCGGTATAACATGGCAATATTTTTTGAGATCTTACCTTCAATATATTTAATATGAAATTTCCATGACAATTTTTCATCTAAGAGCACTCCCAGAAAGTTTGTAGTCAATTCCCTTTTAATTATGTTATTATTGATTAAAAGATTGGGTAGTTTAAGAGGAATATTCTCGGCTTTACTAGGTTTATGGAATAGGATAAATTTTATTTTCTCTACATTTAATGATAGTCGGTTACTTATAAACCACTCGTTGACTACTCGGTTACTTATAAACTTGTTGACTACATTGAAGACAGTGCACTCTTTAACTATAAAAATAATTTGTTTAAAAAACTTTCATGTGTTTATTAAGTTTAGTACTTGATATTTTTTTATATAAGTACTAAGTAATAATTACAAGAGTAATAATAAAATAGAAATTGAACTGTATAACATAAAATTATTTCAAAGTCTTTGAAATAACTTACAAGATACTTGTTTATAAAAAACTGGTACAAAAAACTGGTACAAGAAACTGGTGCTTGAAAATGGTACTAGAAATTTTAGAAAACTATTTGTACTAGATTGTTTTTTGATAAGAAGCTTTATTAGGAGTTTGTAGAAATAGATTTCCTAACTATTCATTTCCTTACCACATCAGGGTAACACGTTTTTTCTTCATATTTTTAATCAGAACCGGTGTAAGGAAGTTAAAATAAATTTAAACAAATTTAAATAAATTGTTATCTAAAATTAGGAACAGTTTTAACAAGTATTTAATTTACACGCCCAATCAAAAGGAGAAAAAGAGTACCGTATCGAAAAGATATTTATGACTACTTGTAAATCTATAACTAAATAAACTTTTAATTTTATAGTGCTAGATTGGGAAAATAGCACCTTTAAAAGTAGAAACTTCCTAGCACTAGCCTGTGTGCTTGGTTTCTAATATATTAACCTACTTCTCCATGAAGCGGTCTCGCTTAACACGTTTCGTGTTTTGGAGTGAGAGCTGCTAATAAAATTCAAATAAACGCAGCTGACAGATGAATTTAATAAAAAAATTTGATAAAAGCGTCTGAAAAATAATAGTTTATTTAAAAATTGTTCTAGTTTTTAGAAGAAAAATTATTCATATATTTTATATAGATTTATTAAAAAACCTTTGCTCTACAAGAATATAAAAAAATTGTTTTACAACTTTATTTAGTTTTTAATTTACGAGCATATAGAATAAAAACAAAAGTATTAAATTCTTTTTAAATTTTGTATAATTAAAGTTAAAAAATTAATAAAAACAAAGCAAACAAATAGATTAGTTAATGCAATTAACAACAAAGATGAGGAGGTCATTTAATCTTTGTGTTAAATCTCACATTTTTGTTATGTGGGTATTCCGCTGTTAAAAGTTTAATTAAAATTGTAATCTTTGAATATTCGAGGTTGATCTCATTGCAAATCGAAATTAGTGTTCTAATTCTACAATTTAATGGAAAAACCATCATTTTTTTAAATTAAAAAATAAGGTAGCGAATTGACATAAGTGCTCCAAAAGAATTTATTAACATTCGCAAAAGTGCGAATAAGCATAAATTGCAATTTTATTCCGTGCACTTATGCCAGGTCGCACTTATACCAATGTTTGCAAATTTATTTGGCGCACTAATGCCGATTCGCACTTATACCGATTCACACTTATGCCGATTCGCACTTATTCCTGCTTTTGCAACTGCTTCGCGCTTACATCAGATCACACTCATGCCAGTTTGCACTTACAGCAATGTTTGCGAATTCTTTTGGTTCAATTATGTCAATTTAAATTTATGCCAGTTCTTAATTATGCCAGTTTTTGCAATGGCTTTGCACATATGCCAATTCGCACCTATGCCAATGTTTGCAAATTCTTTTGACGCACTTATGCCAGTTTGCACTTATGCCAATTTGCATTTATTCTAGTTTTGTAACTGCTTTGCACTTCGGCCAATGTTTGCAACGCTTCGCACTTAATGTTCAATAAAAAAAACCTATTGGTATATAACTCTTTATTACTGGTAATATAATGGTGACATCAGTTAGGAGGAAGGTGTGAACTTCCTATTCAATGCTCATCCGCGGTGCTCTGTGATAAAATTATAAGGACCTCGTGGGGCACCTAAATAAAATAAAAATTAAAAAAAAATGGTTCTAGGCAGTCTCGTGGCTTGTGGGTTTTAGGCCTCCCCTTCCCCCACTCCATCCCCCCAAAAAATTCTGCCATTAAGGCCTCAAAGTCTTAACAATTTTTCTACTAGGTATTACTAAAAAAAAAAAAACTCTTTAATTTGCCCCTAAATTTGTAAATGTCTCCCCACCCCAATTTAGGGTGTGTGGGGTAGGTTAGCCACTGCTCTGGTTCTTGGATGCAAGGCTTAGTGCGCCGTCGCAAAGCTCTCATGTTGCCAAACATTTTATGTTGCCTGTTTTCGATTGCCAATGATTTTACGACCAAAGGGAAATCCCCACTTACAATAAAAACTATTTTAGCTATGTTGTTTGTTAAGAAAATATAACTTTTCAGAGTTTTTGGAGCACTTAGGAATAGTCACAATAAAAGGATGAGACTTAATTGAATGACGAGTAACACGAGAATGAATTTTAGTAAATGGCACAAGAAACCGTAGCTCTTTAGAACAGTGTCCATTTTAGTATTTGTAAAAACGAGAAAGAGAAGCAACATTACGACGTTGTGATAATGGTTAGAGGTTGGCTGCAAGAGTATGTTTGTTTAGGCGTTTTTGCGCCTTATCTAAAAGAGCAAGGGCATCACTGGAAGATCTGCCCCAGATTCCATGAGATTTATAGAGACAAAGAATAGAATCCGGAGTAAGAAAGAGGAGAGCACGATAAAGAGATGCAACCTTAGCAGATGCTAATTTTACCATGGATCTGATATATGGTTTCCAAGAAAGATTCGAAGTAAGAGTAAATCCTAGAAGATGAAGGATAGATGACTAGCCTAGTACATCACCATTCATAAATATAGGAAGATCTAAATTATTGCGATAAAGATTGGCTGAAAAAAATTGGGTTTTATCTGAATTAAAATTCACTAGCCACTGTGAGCCCAATGCTGTAGCAGAAGTGATATCCTTTTCAAGGTCAAATAACCAGAGAGTGTTGGCTTCTAATCAAGACAAAAATAAATATTAGTATCATTAGCAAACAATGCCACCTTAGATGTGAGAGTATCTGGAAAATCGTTAATGTAAATTAAAAAGAATATAGGGCTAAGAAT